TGGCTTCTCTAAGGGATAGACTTGAGTCCTGGGGAATATCTGTCGTAGGTGAAGAGTAGGCTCCAGCCTAGTCAGTGCTAAGATCTGTGCGCCTTCAGTCAGTACTGCTGCCTTTAGCTTGGTGGTTGCTCTTGCATAGGAGCACCCACAAACTGCCTCACAGAGACGGCTGCTAAGCTTTCCGGGATACCTGCAGGCTGACCGGGCCTAAGTGCACACACGGGTTGGTCTGGTCTTGAGTGTTGGCTCAGAACCATGCTTAATGGCAGCATAAATATACCCCTAGAGAGGGCAGAAGGTACAACCAGTGAGCCCCCAGAGCATCTGTTCTCAGCTGGTTTCCATCTAAACTCTGCACCTAAAGAGTTCGAGCCTAAATTATGCCATCTCTGCAGCTCCTGTCCTCCAGTTCAGCAGAGAAAAGTGACTCACCGTGACGTTATACCCGTGCAGATTTCTCTTCCAGTATCTTTTCTCTCAGACTCTTCAGAAAGCACATCACATAGAGCAGCTGCTTTTCCCCACAGAGAACTAGCTGCAGGAGACTTAACAGTAATACGTTGGTACCCAGCCTTCACGAAAGAGGGCTGTAAGCTGCTGATCCTGCAATAACACCTCTAAGGATTTAGAGTCTTTAATGTTGATTGCTGAATATTTCTGTTCCCCTCTGAACCATTCCAACAGTTGTTTCAAGCGAATGTATTCATTCCCTTCCTTTTAACCATTGGAGCTTCTTGCTTGGTCTGGGAGCAAGGAAGAGGGAATGAAAGGGTCTCTTCAAATTTGCTGTAGCTGCTCTCTTAAAAGAGAGCATTGACACAGATTCTGCAGCTCTCGCGTGTAGTAAGACTCCCAGAGGACTTGCACGCGCAGAAAGACTGCAGGATCCTTGTGGGCACTCCAGGAAGAGTGTGGCTATTCTCCTCCCCGCTGGATGAGAGTATCGTATCTATTCCTAGCATGGATCTATCAGGTGGCAGCATTCCCCTGCCAACATACCTTTGGTTTGGCTTACTTTGAAAGCTATGATGTTATATTATATGATGACATCATTATATTTATTTCAACTTTCAATGAAGATTCCTGGCAAATCTCCGAGCTGGAATATCTTCTTTTTAATGGATTGAAGATCCAGCCAACATGGTGCAGATTACATTTATATTACACAACCCAAGTAAGGTGAACTGCTAGGAATTTTTTTAACAGCTGTTGACATTACTAAATTAAGATTATTTCTCTATTAAAACTATGGAAGAGGAAAAACTTGTCCAGTATTTATACAAACACTACTGCTCTAATTTTTAGCTGTGGTTCTTTTTGTGATGACCCCATCACGCACTCATGCAATCTCAAGAATTTATCTTTGTCGTGGTATTTTGAAAAGGATAAAATGAATCAAATATATTTTTTCAGTTAAGTACGTGTGTGAGGACACAACACTTCAATGGTATGTGTAACAACATTTTCCTTTGGTTCTTTTTCTTCACACTATCTGGACTAATTCTGAATGAGCTTATTATGTTTGGACAACTTACTCCAGTCTACTTTTTTTATCCTTCTATCAACTGTGTTACTCTTAGCACTTTCAAATTAGCCTACAGCATCACAACTTTCGTTAAGTCACGTGCTTTTCCTGATAAACAGCAGTATAAAGCATTTAAGAACGCGACATAAGATACTGTTCTGCACTGGCAAAAATAATGTCTTGAACGCTAAATCCAATACCACCAAGGAACCCCCCTTGAACACTGAGCCTTAACTTTACTAGATTTTGAATAAACACATGGTGTGAGAGAAGGAATTATTCTGGATAAGGACTAACTACGCTGACAAAGAAGACGAAGTCCTGTACTCCTCATAAGGAACTGCAGCACATAGGTTAAAGGACTCAACCGAGGTTACGCAGTCTATGGCGGAGGTAGAATTGAATTTAAATTTCCAATATTACACTTTAAGACACTAAAATTGCAAAAGAAGAAACTGAAGAGTAACTAAAAGCAAACTTTCAACCTTTCCCTTCTTATTTCTTCCCCACAGTGGTCTCTGTGAGGTCTTATGATGCCACTACACAGATCAGCAAACAAAAATTGGCTGTGTTATGAATTGATTTCAATTTAAAAGAGCCATAATTCAATTTTGCTTTAAAAACATATTACAAAATCTAATATTAAAAAGATTTGCATAGAAACATTCATCAGAAAGATATTTTATTTGTTTGGCTTGAAACACTTCCACTACAAGCCAAACATTTCAACACTAGGGCAGGAGGACCAGAAAGTGAACCTGACCAGAAACAACAGTGAAAACTACTAGTTTATTTTTGCTTTACCAGCTGACAAAATGTAGTTATTTATTTAAAAAAAAATCACGGGCCTTGTGGATGGTGAAACCTGATTTTTTTAACCCCAAATATTCTTGTAAATTTATTAGTAACAAGGCATTACTAGTTGAGAAAGCATGTATGTACATGTGTCTTACTGATTACAATGACGATCAGATTAAAAATAAAACAGATACGGTGATAGGTATTTAGACTATATTAAAAACACACTTGTTTTACACTCACATAACACCCACAAATACACACACATCTCTGCATACATAAAAATTTAAAATCTTTAAGCAAACAGTCCGAGGTGGTTTCCATATGTCTCTGTTTGCCCCATTGCTCGGATCATGGACAGATAAATCACTGGGTGAGTCCCCTCGCTAAGTAGTGGGAATATTACTTTAGTAGTTTGCTAATGGGGCAAAGGACCTTGTATTGTAATCCAGTGACATTTTCAACCTTCGGAGAACTTTTGTTGACATTCCCGAGTCCCTGGCTGCCATCCCAGCATGAAATAGTTTCTGTTCACATAATTCTCGTGTTTACCAGTCATGAAAAACTCTTGCTTTTCGCTTTTTTTTTTTAAATAAACTTTTTTTTTTGCAAGTGAAACTCTGTCTAAAAAAATATTGGCCCCAGGCATAGAAGGTTTTGCATAAATTCATATGTGATGAATGGCTGATTTTAATGTTATTTGGGTATTTGTCAGAACCTAACAAATATACATGGTAATGGTGGTTCATAAACTTAAACATCTCAATATCCCCTTTCTTCTAGAAATAAATTACGTTTGTTTGCCCTGCCTGGAGTCCTAAGGTAGCCGACATTAGGAATATTTTAAATGTGATCATCCATCCAGCATGTCTTTCAGGCGCCACGAAGATTAAATGAAAGAATCATAAGATGAAGGTCTTTAACTTTTAATCCTTTTACAATGAACCCTTAGATAGACATGGGGGCAGGGTGCCTTCTATGTGAGTAATAATGCCTCTGTTCCTCTTCACTAGGTTAATGAATACCCTAAATGTCCCAAGATCTGACTTTTTTTTCCAAACTATTGAAATTAGAAGCAAAGAGACGGGTGGTAAAACGCACGGAGAGACGGAATGAATATGCATTCGGAGATACGCGAACTAAACGTTAGAGAAAGCAGGGGTTGTGTCAATCTGGGCTGTGTCAATGAAAGACCCACGAGTTTAAAATAATTAGCATAGATTCCCTCAGAGTTCGGGAAAAAAAAAGTTTTTTGATTCCAAGATAAATAAGGAAAAGGCTTTCTGCGCTGTCAGGGCGCCTTTGAAGAACACGTGGAGAGTTTGTTTTTGCAGTTGGTATCTATGAGATACTAACCGTCGGGTCTCCTGGCACGTAAAAGTCAAACGCTTCGTTAATTGCGACAGGTCCTTCCAGAGCCGCGGGACAGTTACGCGCCCCGCGGAGCACAGCGCGCCCCGCGGGCCGGGGACGTTCCCCACCGCTGGCGCCCC